GACCCATAGAGACACATAGAAATCCATGGAGACCCCTATGAACCCAGAGACCCATAGAGACCCATAGAGACCCATCGAAATCCATAGAGACCCTTACGAACACAGAGACCCATAGAGACCCATAGAGACCCCTATGAATCCAGAGACCCATAGAGACCCATAGAGACCCATCGAAATCCATAGAGACCCTTATGAACCCAGAGACCCATAGAGACCCATAGAGATCCATAGAGATCCATAGACACCCTTATGAACCCAGAGACCCATAGAGACCCATAGAGACCCATAGATACCCATAGAGACCCATAGAAATCAGAGACCCACAGAGACCGATAGAGAACCGTAATCTAAACTAAACTGTGTGTATTGTTTTGATTTAAAGCTTTCGTGACTGCAAGGATTCATATTCTTGGTTCTTTCGGTAAAGTCACCACCACGTAGAAGGGAAACAATAAAATAATAAAAATATAAAACAATAAAATTATTGTAAAACAATAAAATTATTATTCTTGGTTCTTTCGGTAAAGTCACCACCACCACGTTAGAAGGGAAACAATAAAATAATAAAAATATAAAACAATAAAATTATTATTCTTGGTTCTTTCGGTAAAGTCACCACCACGTAGAAGGGAAACAATAAAATAATAAAAATATAAAACATTAAAATTATTGTAAAACAATAAAATTATTATTCTTGGTTCTTTCGGTAAAGTAGAAGGGAAACAATAAAATAATAAAACTATGAAGCAATAACATTCTCACGACGTTTCGACTGCAACACCAAGCAATCATTGTGAAAACCCACAGCTAGAAAATTTGAAAAAGTGGCGTTTTTTATTTTATTATTTTATTGTTTCCCTTCTACGTGGTGGTGACTTTTCCAAAAGAACCAAGAATAATAATTTTCTTGTTTTATATTTTTATTATTTTATTGTTTCCCTTCTACGTGGTGGTGACTTTACCGAAAGAACCACCAATAATAATTTTATTGTTTTACAATTATTTTATTGTTTTATATTTTTATTATTTTATTGTTTCCCCTTCTACATAGTGGTGACTTTACCGAAAGAGCATACACATCATTGGATCTCCTTTGCCAGTACCAAAATATAATAATAGGGTTTTTTTCCCTTGCCCTTGGTGTGGACCAATCAGTTTCAAGGACAATGCATCACGTGATCAGAGTGTGTGTGTGCTTTTTGTTTTGCATTTTGACTGCAGGTATTGTGCTTAATGCAGTTAACACGAATCCTTGTAAATAGGTTTCAGTTTTTGTTGCCAGGAAAAAAGGGGAAAAACCCTCTTATCATATTTTGGTACTGGCAAAAGAGTTCTAATGATGATGTAGATGCTCACCCCGAGCCCTCATTACTTTGATAGCGGCATTGTCTTTGAGCTGTGTGTAAACGCCTTTTGGCGTCGTCTGGTCGAGCACCAGTTTGGTCGAGGCTCAATAGAAAGCCGTCCCTTGGTGTGGACCAATCAGTTGCAAGGACAATGCATCACGTGATCAGAGTGTGTGTGTGCTTTTTGTTTTGCATTTTGACTGCAGGTATTGTGCTTAATGCAGTTAACACGAATCCTTGTAAAAAGGTTTCAGTTTTTGTTGCCAGGAAAAAAGGGGAAAAACCCTCTTATCATATTTTGGTACTGGCAAAAGAGTTCTAATGATGATGTAGATGCTCACCCCGAGCCCTCATTACTTTGATAGCGACATTGTCTTTGAGCTGTGTGTAACGCCTTTTGGCGTCATCTGGTCGAGCACCAATTTGGTCGAGGCTCAATAGAAAGCCGTCCCTTGGTGTGGACCAATCAGTTGCAAGGACAATGCATCACGTGATCATAGTGTGTGTGTGTGCTTTTTGTTTTGCATTTTGACTGCAGGTATTGTGCTTAATGCAGTTAACACGAATCCTTGTAAATAGGTTTCAGTTTTTGTTGCCAGGAAAAAAGGGGAAAAACCCTCTTATCATATTTTGGTACTGGCAAAAGAGTTCTAATGATGATGTAGATGCTCACCCCGAGCCCTCATTACTTTGATAGCGGCATTGTCTTTGAGCTGTGTGTAAACGCCTTTTGGCGTCGTCTGGTCGAGCACCAGTTTGGTCGAGGCTCAATAGAAAGCCGTCCCTTGGTGTGGACCAATCAGTTGCAAGGACAATGCATCACGTGATCAGAGTGTGTGTGTGCTTTTTGTTTTGCATTTTGACTGCAGGTATTGTGCCTAATGCAGTTAACACGAATCCTTGTAAATAGGTTTCAGTTTTTGTTGCCAGGAAAAAAGGGGAAAAACCCTCTTATCATATTTTGGTACTGGCAAAAGAGTTCTAATGATGATGTAGATGCTCACCCCGAGCCCTCATTACTTTGATAGCGACATTGTCTTTGAGCTGTGTGTAAACGCCTTTTGGCGTCGTCTGGTCGAGCACCAATTTGGTCGAGGCTCAATACAAAGCCGTCCCTTGGTGTGGACCAATCAGTTGCAAGGACAATGCATCACGTGATCAGAGTGTGTGTGTGCTTTTTGTTTTGCATTTTGACTGCAGGTATTGTGCTTAATGCAGTTAACACGAATCCTTGTAAATAGGTTTCAGTTTTTGTTGCCAGGAAAAAAGGGGAAAAACCCTCTTATCATATTTTGGTACTGGCAAAAGAGTTCTAATGATGATGTAGATGCTCACCCCGAGCCCTCATTACTTTGATAGCGGCATTGTCTTTGAGCTGTGTGTAAACGCCTTTTGGCGTCGTCTGGTCGAGCACCAATTTGGTCGAGGCTCAATAGAAAGCCGTCCCTTGGTGTGGACCAATCAGTTGCAAGGACAATGCATCACGTGATCAGAGTGTGTGTGTGCTTTTTGTTTTGCATTTTGACTGCAGGTATTGTGCTTAATGCAGTTAACACGAATCCTTGTAAATAGGTTTCAGTTTTTGTTGCCAGGAAAAAAGGGGAAAAACCCTCTTATCATATTTTGGTACTGGCAAAAGAGTTCTAATGATGATGTAGATGCTCACCCCGAGCCCTCATTACTTTGATAGCGACATTGTCTTTGAGCTGTGTGTAAACGCCTTTTGGCGTCGTCTGGTCGAGCACCAATTTGGTCGAGGCTCAATAGAAAGCCGTCCCTTGGTGTGGACCAATCAGTTGCAAGGACAATGCATCACGTGATCAGAGTGTGTGTGTGCTTTTTGTTTTGCATTTTGACTACAGGTATTGTGCTTAATGCAGTTAACACGAATCCTTGTAAATAGGTTTCAGTTTTTTATGCCAGACAAAAGGGGAAAAACCCTCTTATCATATTTTGGTACTGGCAAAAGAGTTCTAATGATATAGATGCTCACCCCGAGCCCTCATTATTATTATTACTATTATCATTATTTGTTGGTAGCGGCAAAGGAGACCTGATGATGTAATGCGGTACATTTAATAAAAGCGTGTGTTTTTTTTTTTAAAAAAAGGGTTTTCTCTTTTTTAAAATATTACTTTTCGAATTTTGATTGAAAGCTTTCGTGACTGCGGTAATTCATATTCTTAGACTTTTCCAGTAAAGTCACCACGTTGAAGGGAAACAAGAAAATAATAAAAAATATATATATAAAACAATAAACAAAAATTTCTCACGACGTTTCGACCAGTTGCGTTCTGGTCGAAACGTCGTGATAATTTTTTTATTGTTTTATATATTTTTTTATTATTATTTTCTTGTTTCCCTTCAACGTGATTTTACCGAAAAAGCTAAGAACATGAATTACTTTTGGTAAAGTCACCACGTTGAAGGGAAACAACAAAATAATAAAATATATATAAAACAATAAAAAATTCTCACGACGTTTCGACCATAACACCAACCTGGAGACGACCGTTTGTGTTATGGTCGAAACGTCGTGAGAATTTTTTTATTGTTTTATATATTATTTTATTATTTTGTTGTTTCCCTTCAACGTGACTTTACCGAAAAAACTAAGGATATAATATATATTTTATGTAAAACAATACATATTGTTTTATTGTTTCCCTTCAACGTGACTTTACAATAAAATTATTGTAAAACAATAAAATTGTTATTCTTGGTTCTTTCGGTAAAGTCACCACCACGTAGAAGGGAAACAATAAAATAATAAAAATATAAAACAATAAAATTATTGTAAAACAATAAAATTATTATTCTTGGTTCTTTCGGTAAAGTCACCACCACGTAGAAGGGAAACAATAAAATAATAAAAATATAAAACAATAAAATTATTGTAAAACAATAAAATTATTATTCTTGGTTCTTTCGGTAAAATCACCACCACGTAGAAGGGAAACAATAAAATAATAAAAATATAAAACAATACAATTATTGTAAAACAATAAAATTATTATTCTTGGTTCTTTCGGTAAAATCACCACCACGTAGATAGGGGAAACAATAAAATAATAAAAATATAAAACAATACAATTATTGTAAAACAATAAAATTATTATTCTTGGTTCTTTCGGTAAAGTCACCACCACGTAGAAGGGAAACAATAAAATAATAAAAATATAAAACAATAAAATTATTGTAAAACAATAAAATTATTATTCTTGGTTCTTTCGGTAGAGTCACCACCACGTAGATAGGGGAAACAATAAAATAAAAAAATACATTGTAAAACAATAAAAAAAATTCTCACGACGTTTCGACCACAACACAAACCTGAAGACGACCATTTGAGTTATGGTCGAAACGTCGAGAGAATTTTTTTTATTGTTTTATATATTTTTTATTATTTTATTGTTTCCCTTCAACGTGGTGGTGACTTTACCGAAAGAAACTAAGAATATGAATTACTGCAGTCACGAAAGCTTTAAATCAAAATGAATTACTTTTTTTTTAAGTTGATCATTTTGCACGGCCTCGCGAATGATGCGATGAATATCCAAAGGGCCCCTTGACAGAAACGGGGTTCCACCAAATTCCCCGTGCCACGTAGCAGCTGTTTGTTCACTTCAGACAAGTTTGACCGGGCCACCGCAGCCCGATCACGTGGCCGATGTCGTCATCATCGTGGGAATTCATAGCAGCGGCTGAACGACTCCGAAACGCGTCAGCGACGTTGACTCTAAATGCGGGAAGGGAAAATAACCGAAGGACCCGGTGGGATGAAATCCACTCAGCGCAGACTCCGACATACACAGCGGCCAGGCATCGGCAGGGTGCGGGATCGAACCCGCGACCTCCTGCGTGCCGGGCGAGGTGGTCAACATCTGATCAGGGTCCGTGATCGAACCCACGACCTCCTGCAGACCAGGCGAGGTAGTCAACATCTCATCAAGGTCTGGGATCTAACCCACGACCTCCTGCGTACCAGGCGAGGTAGTCAACATCTCATCAGGGTCTGGGATCTAACCCACGACCTCCTGCGTACCAGGCGAGGTGGTCAACATCTCAACTCCAACATATAACGGCAGGCATTGTCAGGGTCTGGGATCGAACCCACGACCTCCTGCGTACCAGGCGAGGTAGTCAACATCTCAACTCCAACATACAGCGGCAGGCATTGTCAGGGTCTGGGATCGAACCCACGACCTCCTGCGTACCAGGCGAGGTAGTCAACATCTCAACTCCAACATACAGCGGCAGGCATTGTCAGGGTCTGGGATCGAACCCACGACCTCCTGCGTACCAGGCGAGGTAGTCAACATCTCCCAGCTACATTCTCACGAATCTCAACCACCAAACCACCAACCACCTCTCACGTACGGGAGGTATAATCGTTGTTGGTCGGTGTAAAATTAAGACCACAATTAATGCATCACACAATATCACATGCCCTCTGTAGGTAACCCCACTCGAATATTATCATAATTTATGTGACCACGCCCCATAAAACAGACCACGCCCACTCCCAACTAGCCACACCTATTGGGTTGACCAGCCACCCCGAGCCCAATGTTTATCATAATTTATGCGGCCACGCCCTCCCCATAAAAGACCTCCCCCCCCCCGCCGACCTTCAGAGTAGCTACGCCTACCGTGTTGACAAGACGCCCGTTATTATCATAATTTATGCAGCCACGCCCACCCCACCACGCAAGTCTGGTAGGTGACCACCCACCCTCCCCCCCATTATTATCATAATTTATGTGGCCACGCCCATATCCACACGAACCACGCCTGCCGGGTTACTCAATCCCGACCTTCGTCCGCCACGCCCCCCCCACCCATATTATCATAATGTCCACGGCTACGCCCAGCCAAATAAAATCAACTCCGCCCACCCCCACACTTTGCCCCGCCTGATTGGTTGACCAGCCTCCAACTAAAATTATCATAATATATGAGGACACGCCCCTCACCCCCATAGAAAAAAGCCTCCCCCACGCATGCGCAGTTGAGGTTCTCACTTCCTCGTCCACTGAGGAGGCGAGAGAGAGTTAAGCGAGTGGCGGGGAGAGTTCGGGGAGAGTTAAGCGAGTGGCGGGGAGAGTTAAGCGAGTGGCGGGGAGAGTTCGGGGAGAGTTAAGCGAGTGGCGGGGAGAGTTCGGGGAGAGTTAAGTGAGTGGCGGGGAGAGTTCGGGGAGAGTTAAGCGAGTGGCGGGGAGAGTTAAGCGAGTGGCGGGGAGAGTTCGGGGAGAGTTTATGGAACGAGGGCGTGGGAGAGTTAAGCGAGAGGGGAGGGTTGCACGAGAGTGGGGAGAGTGAGGAGAGAGTGTGAGGGGAGAGTGTTTAGAGTGTGAGGGGAGAGTGTTTAGAGTGTGAGGGGAGAGTGTTTAGAGTGTGAGGGGAGAGTGTTTAGAGTGTGAGGGGAGAGTGTTTAGAGTGTGAGGGGAGAGTGTGTAGAGTGTGAGGGGAGAGTGTTTAGAGTGTGAGGGGAGAGTGTTTAGAGTGTGAGGGGAGAGTGTTTAGAGTGTGAGGGGAGAGTGTTTAGAGTGTGAGGGGAGAGTGTTTAGAGTGTGAGGGGAGAGTGTTTAGAGTGTGAGGGGAGAGTGTTTAGAGTGTGAGGGGAGAGTGTTTAGAGTGTGAGGGGAGAGTGTGAGGGGAGAGTGTTGAGAGTGTGAGGGGATAGAGAGTGTGTTTAGAGAGTGTTTAGAGTGTGAGGGGAGTGTGTTGAGAGAGAGTGAGGAGAGTGTGAGGGGAGAGTGAGGAGAGTGTGAGGGGAGAGTGAGGAGAGTGTGAGGGGAGAGTGTTGAGAGTGTGAGGGGAGAGTGAGGAGAGTGTGAGGGGAGAGTGAGGAGAGTGTGAGGGGAGAGTGAGGAGAGTGTGAGGGGAGAGAGGGGAGAGTGTGAGGGGAGAGAGTGTTGAGAGTGTGAGGAGAGTGTTTGTGGAGAGAGAGAGTGTTGAGAGTGTGAGGAGAGAGAGTGTTTAGAGAGTGTGAGGGGAGAGTGTGTTGAGAGTGAGGAGAGTGTTTGTGGAGAGTGAGAGGAGAGTGTGAGGGGATAGAGAGTGAGGGGAGAGTGTGAGGAGAGAGAGTGTTGAGAGTGAGAGGTGAGAGAGAGTGTGGAGAGTGTGTGAGTTGAGAGAGAGTGTTGAGAGAGTGTGAGAGGTGAGAGTGTTGTGGAGAGTGTTTGTGGAGAGTGTGAGAGAGTGTTTAGAGTGTGAGGAGAGTGTGAGGGGAGAGAGTGTGAGGAGAGAGAGAGTGAGGAGAGAGAAAGTGTGAGGAGAGAGTGTTGAGAGTGAGAGGTGAGAGAGAGTGTGGAGAGTGTGTGAGTTGAGAGAGAGTGTTGAGAGAGTGTGAGAGGTGAGAGAGTGTTGTGGAGAGTGTTTGTGGAGAGTGTGTTGAGAGTGTTTGTGTAGAGTGTTGAGCGGAGTTTGTAGGTGGCGAGCGGGGGGAGCGAGGAGGGGGGGTGAGACCCTACTGTACAGGCGAGACCCTACTGTACAGGCGACGCCCTACTGTACAGGCGAGGCCCTACTGTACACGCGAGGCCCTACTGTACAGGCGAGACCCTACTGTACAGGCGAGGCCCTACTGTACAGGCGAGGTGAGGAGTGTAGTGTGAGTGGTGAGTGTAGTGTGAGTAGTGAGTTAGTGGTGAGTGTAGGGTGAGTGGTGAGTGTATGGTGAGTGCAGGGTAAGTGGTGAGGGAGTGGTGAGTTCAGGGTAAGTGGTGAGGGAGTGGTGAGTGCAGGGTGAGGGAGTGGTGAGGGGTGAGGGAGTGGTGAGTGTAGGGTGAGGGAGTGGTGAGGGGCGAGGGAGTGGTGAGTGTAGGGTGAGGGAGTGGTGAGTGTAGGGTGAGGGAGTAGTGAGTGTAGGGTGAGGGAGTGGTGAGGGGTGAGTGTAGGGTGAGGGAGTGCTGAGTGTAGGGTAAGTGGTGAGTGTAGGGTGAGGGAGTGGTGAGTGAGGGGTGAGGGAGTGGTGAGGGGTGAGGGAGTGGTGAGTGTATGGTGAGTTCAGGGTAAGTGGTGAGGGAGTGGTGAGGGGTGAGGGAGTGGTGAGGGGTGAGTGTAGGGTGAGGGAGTGCTGAGTGTAGGGTAAGTGGTGAGTGTAGGGTGAGGGAGTGGTGAGTGAGGGGTGAGGGAGTGGTGAGGTAGTGGTGAGTGTAGGGTGAGGGAGTGGTGAGGGAGTGGTGAGGGGTGAGGGAGTGGTGAGTGTAGGGTAAGTGGTGAGTGTAGGGTGAGGGAGTGGTGAGTGAGGGGTGAGGGAGTGGTGAGGGAGTGGTGAGTGTAGGGTGAGGGAGTGGTGAGGGAGTGGTGAGGGGTGAGGGAGTGGTGAGTGTAGGGTAAGTGGTGAGTGTAGGGTGAGGGAGTGGTGAGTGAGGGGTGAGGGAGTGGTGAGGGAGTGGTGAGTGTAGGGTGAGGGAGTGGTGAGGGGTGAGGGAGTGGTGAGTGTAGGGTAAGTGGTGAGTGTAGGGTGAGGGAGTGGTGAGTGAGGGGTGAGGGAGTGGTGAGGGAGTGGTGAGTGTAGGGTGAGGGAGTGGTGAGGGAGTGGTGAGGGGTGAGGAGTCGTCATGAGGGACCGACTGCAAGAACTGAGGCAGGAGAAGCAGAGCTTCCTAGCGGTGAGACCACCACCACCATCACAACCACTACTACCATCACTGCTACTACCACCATCACCATCACTACTACTACTACCATCACTACTACTACCACCATCACCATCACAACCACTACTACCATCACTACTACTACAACTACTACTACCATCACAACCACCATCACCATCACTACTACTACTACCACCATCACCACCATCACTACTACTACCACCACCACCATCACAACCACTACTACCATCACTGCTACTACCACCATCACCACCATCACTACTACTACCACCATCACCACCATCACTACTACTACCACCATCACCATCACTACTACTACCACCATCACCACCATCACTACTACTACCACCATCACTACTACTACCACCACCATCACTACTACTACACCATCACCACCATCACTACTACTACAACTACTACTACCATCACAACTACTACTACCATCACAACAACTACTACCACCATCACTACTACTACATACTACAACTACTACAACTACCACCATCACAACTACTACCACCATCACCACCATCACTACCATCACTACTACTACCATCAGCACCACTACCACAACTACTACTACTACAACTACCACCATCACAACTACTACTACTACCACCACCATCACCACAACTACTATTACTACCATCACAACTACTACTACAACAACTACTACCACCACTACTGCTACCACTACTACTACCACTACAACTACTACTACCACTACCATCACCACCATCACAACTACTACTACTACCGCTACTACTACTACCACCACCATCACAACTACTACCACCACCACTATCACCACTACTACTACCACTACCACCATCACTACTACTACCACTACCACCATCACAACTACTACTACTACCACCACTACCATCACCACCATCACAACTACAACAACTACTACCACTACTACTACCACCATCACTACTACTACTACTACAACTACTACTACCATCACAACTACTACTACCATCACAACAACTACTACCACCATCACTACTACTACCACCACCACCATCACAACTACTACCACCATCACTACTACTACATACTACAACTACTACAACTACCACCATCACAACTACTACCACCATCACCACCATCACTACCATCACTACTACTACCATCAGCACCACTACTACTACAACTACCACCATCACAACTACTACTACAACTACTACTACCATCACAACTACTACTACCACCACCATCACCACAACTACTACTATTACTACCATCACAACTACTACTACAACAACTACTACCACCACTACTGCTACCACTACTACTACCACTACAACTACTACTACCACTACCATCACCACCATCACAACTACTACTACTACCGCTACTACTACTACCACCACCATCACAACTACTACCACCAGCACTATCACCACTACTACTACCACCATCACTACTACTACCACTTCTACTACCACTACCACCATCACAACTACTACTACTACTACCACCAGTACCATCACCACCATCACAACTACCACAACTACTACCACTACTACTACCACCATAACTACTACTACTACCACTACCACAACTACCACAACTACTACCACTACAACTACTACAACTACCACTACAACTACTACTACCACTACTACCACAACTACTACTACTACCACTACTACCACCACCACTACCACCACCACTACTACTACTACCACATCTACTACCACAACTACTACTACAACTACTACCATCACCACCATCACAACTACCATCACAACTACAACTACTACCACCACCATCACAACTACTACTACTACCACCACCACTACTACCACAACTACCACTACAACTACTACCACTACAACTACTACTACCACCATCACCACTACCACCATAACTACTACCACCACCACTACTACTACCACAACCACTACTACCACCACCATCACCACTACTACCACCACAACTACCACAACTACAACTACCACAACTACTACTACCACTACCACAACAACTGCTACCACCACCACAACAACTACTACCACCACCATCACCACAACAACTACTACCACCACCATCACCACCACTACTACTACCATCACAACTACTACTACCACCACAACTACTACCACCACCATCACAACTACTACTACCACTACAACTACTACCACCATCACTACTACCTCTACCATCACAACTACCACAACTACTACCACCACCATCACAACTACTACTACAACTACTACTACAACTACTACCACTACCACCATCACTACCATCACAACTACTACCACTACATACTACAACTACCACAACTACCACAACTACTACCACCACCATCACCACCACTACCACAACTACTACTACCACTACTACCATCACAACTACCACCACCACAACTACCACCACAACTACTACTACAACTACTACCACCATCACCACCACTACCACAACTACTACCACCACCATCACCACCACTACCACCACCACTACTACTACAACTACTACCACCACTACTACTACTACCACTACCACCACCACAACTACTACCACTACCACCACAGCTACTACCACCACTACTACCACCATCACCACAACTACCACTACTACTACCACCATCACTACTACAACTACTACTACCACAACTACTACCACCACAACTACCACCACAACTACCACTACTACCACAACCACCACTACCACCACAACTACCACCACTACTACTACCACAACTACTACTACTACCACCACTACTACCACTACTACTACCACAACTACTACCACTACTACTACCACAACTACTACTACTACCACAACTACCACAACTACTACTACCATCACTATCACCACCATAACCACTACCACTACCACCACTACCACTACTACCACAACTACTACTACCACAACCACAACTACTACTACCACAACTACTACTACCACCACCACAACTACTACTACCACAACTACTACTACGACCACCACAACTACTACTACCACAACTACTACTACTACCACCACTATCACCACAACTACCACAACTACTACTACCACCACCACTACTACCACCACCACTACTACCACAACTACTACCACCACTACTACTACCACCACTACTACTACCACCACCACTACCACCACTACCACAACTACCACTACCACCACCACTACTACCACCACTACCACTACTACTACAACTACTACCACTACCACCACCACTACCACAACTACTACTACCACTACTACTACAACTACCACCACTACCACTAATACCACTACTACTACCACAACTACTACCACCACCATCACCACCACTACCACAACTACTACTACCACCATCACCACCACTACCACCACAACTACTACTACCACCACTACTACTACCACTACTACTACCACTACCACCACCACAACTACTACCACTACCACCACAACTACTACCACCACTACTACCACCACTACTACCACCATCACCACAACTACCACTACTACTACCACCATCACTACTACAACTACTACTACCACAACTACTACCACAACTACCACCACCACAACTACTACCACTACCAGCACTACTACTACCACCACTACTACTACCACTACCACCACCACAACTACTACCACTACCACCACAACTACTACCACAACTACTACCACCACAACTACCACCACTACCACTACTACCACAACCACCACTACCACCACAACTACCACCACTACTACTACCACAACTACTACCACTACTACTACCACAACTACTACCACCATCACCACTACCACCATCACCACAACTACCACAACTACTACTACCACAACTACTACTACCACCACTATCACCACAACTACCACAACTACTACTACCACCACCACTACCACAACTGCTACTACCACCACCACTACTATCACAACTACTACCACCACTACCACCACTACTACTACCACCACAACTACTACCACTACCACAACTACTACTACCACAACTGCTACTACCACCACCACTACTACCACCACCACTACTACCACAACTACTACCACCACTACCACCACTACTACTACCACCAGAACTACTACCACTATCACAACTACTACTACCACCACCAATACCACCAATACCACAACTACTACTACCACCACCACTACCACAACTACTACTACCACCACCACTACTACCACCACTACCACCACCACTACTACCACAACTACTACCACCACCACTACTACTACTACCACCACTACTACCACCACTACTACCACCACTACTACTACTACCGCCACTACCACAACTACCACCACTACTACCACCACTACGACCACCACCACTACTACCACCACCACTACTACCACCACAACTACTACCACTACTACTACCACCACCACCACTACTACCACCACCACAACTACCACCACCACTTACACAACTACCACCACTACTACCACTACCACCACAACTACCACCACCACAACTACCACAACTACTACCACTACTACCACCACAACTACTACCACCACTACTACCACAACTACCACCAGCACAACTACCACCACCACAACTACCACCACCACCACTACTACCACCACTACCACAACTACCACCACCACAACTACCACCACCACCACTACCACCACCACCACTACCACCACCACAACTACTACCACCACTACCACAACTACCACCACCACAACTACCATCACCACCACTACCACCACCACTACCACCACAACTATTCTTGGTTCTTTCGGTAAAGTCACCACCACGTAGATAAGGGAAACAATAAAATAATAAAAATATAAAACAATAAATTTATTATTCTTGGTTATTTCGGTAAAGTCACCACCACGTAGAAGGGGAAACAATAAAATAATAAAAACAAAAATATTTTATTATAAAGAGCTAAGAATATGAATCAGTGCAGTCACTTGAGCTTTAAATCAACAACCGATTAATTTTCTGTTGCTTTAAATTTCACTTGACCCCCCTACTGCGGTGGTGACTTTGACCCAGGAGAGAGAATTAAAAAAAAACTCCACCAAATTTGTTCGAAAGGTCTTGAGCGTTCCGTTTTCAATTTCTTGTTCGGTTAAAATGCAACGCCAAAAGGCGTTCGTACGTCCTCTGTGGTTTTTTATACACACACACATATATACACTTACACTTATACTTGATAACGTCTCATCGCTGCCATTAGAATATTATACACATATCGGCGGAGTCTCGTTCTTGTGAAATCCCGTGATCACGCCTTTTAAATCGATCAATCACGCAGTTGAACATTATCAGCTGACGCTTTTTTTTTTAAATCGCAAATCGCAATCGATCCGTTAGGTTTAAAAAAAAATTAATCGCCGGCTCACGGGGGGAGGGGGAGACAAAGGCGGTCGGGAATATCGTGTGTGTGTGTGTGTAGCCACGGTGGGGGCCCTTAGCAGGCGCTGCTGGTGATGATGATGATGCTGATGATGCTGACACAGCACTTGCCCCTACAGCCACTGTTAGAGGCTACCTGGGGAACCTTTGTGTGTGTGTAGGTGCTGCTACTCGCTACTGACAGCACTTGCCCCTACAGCCACTGTTAGAGGCTACACGGGGGACCTTTGTCTGTGTGTAGGTGGTGCTACTCGCTACTGAGAACACTTGCCCCTACAGTCTGTTAGAAGCTACACCGGGGACCTTTGTCTGTGTGTGTAGGTGCTGCTACTCGCTACTACGAACAGCACTTGCCCCTTCGGTCTGTCTGAGGCTACCTGGGGGATCTTTGTCTGTCTGTGTGTAGGTGCTGCTACTTGCTACTAACAGCACTTGCCCCTACAGTCTGTCTGAGGCTACCAGGGGAACCTTTGTCTGTGTGTGTAGGTGCTGCTACTCGCTACTAACACAGCACTTGCCCCTACAGCCCTGTTAGAGGCTACACTGGGGACCTTTGTCTGTGTCTGTGTGTATAGGTGATGCTGCTGACAGCACTTGCCCCTACAGCCACTGTTAGAGGCTACACGGGGGACCTTTGTCTGTGTCTGTGTGTAGGTGCTGCTACTTGCTACTAACAGCACTTGCCCCTACAGCCACTGTTAGAGGCTACACGGGGGACCTTTGTCTGTGTCTGTGTGTAGGTGCTGCTACTCGCTACTGACAGCACTTGCCCCTACAGCCCTGTTAGAGGCTACACGGGGACCTTTGTCTGTGTCTGTGTGTAGGTGCTGCTACTACTGACACAGCACTTGCCCCTACAGCCACTGTTTGAGGCTACACGGGGGACCTTTGTCTGTGTGTGTGTGTAGGTGATGCTGCTGACAGCACTTGCCCCTACAGCCACTGTTAGAGGCTACACGGGGGACCTTTGTCTGTGTGTAGGTGATGCTACTAACAGCACTTGCCACTGCTAGAGGCTACACGGGGGACCTTTGTCTGTGTCTGTGTGTAGGTGATGCTGCTGACAGCACTTGCCCCTACAGCCACTGTTAGAGGCTACACGGGGGACCTTTGTCTGTGTGTGTGTGTGTAGGTGATGCTGCTGACAGCACTTGCCCCTACAGCCACTGTTAGAGGCTACACGGGGGACCTTTGTCTGTGTGTGTGTGTGTAGGTGATGCTGCTGACAGCACTTGCCCCTACAGCCACTGTTAGAGGCTACACGGGGGACCTTTGTCTGTGTCTGTGTGTAGGTGATGCTGCTGACAGCACTTGCCCCTACAGCCACTGTTAGAGGCTACACGGGGGACCTTTGTCTGTGTCTGTGTAGGTGCTGCTACTCGCTACTGACAGCACTTGCCCCTACAGCCCTGTTAGAGGCTACACGGGGGACCTTTGTCTGTGTGTAGGTGCTGCTGCTACTGACAGCACTTGCCCCTACAGTCTGTTAGAGGCTACACGGGGGACCTTTGTCTGTGTGTGTAGGTGCTGCTACTCGCTACTACGAACAGCACTTGCCCCTTCGGTCTCTCTGAGGCTACCTGGGGGATCTTTGTCTTTGCAGCCGGAGAGCAGCGATGGGGAGCGAGCGGGGGCGGAGATCCCCATGGACAACCTCGACTCATTCTTATCGAAGGTGACTCATTCACTCATTCACTGACTCATTCACTCATTCACTGACTCATTCACTCATTCACCGATTCACTGGCTCATTCACTCACTCATTCACTCACTCATTCACTCTCACTCACTGATTCAATTATTCACTCACTCATTCAATCGTTAAATCATTCACTCATTCACTCACTCATTCACCGATTCACTCACTCATTCACTCACTCATTCACTCACTCATTCATTCTCACTGATTCAATTATTCACTCACTTATTCAATCGTTAAATCATTCAGTCACTCACTCATTCACTCACACATTCACTGACTCACACGCTCCCTCATTAGCTCATTCACTTGTTCGCTCACTCTGTCGCTCACTCACACACTCACTCACACACTCACTCACACACTCACTCGCTCACTCACTCACTCTCTCGCTCACTCACACACTCACTCACACTCACTCACACACTCACTCACACACTCACTCACACACTCACTCACACTCACTCACACTCACACACTCTCTCGCTCACTCACACACTCTGTCGCTCACTCGCACACTCACTCACACACTCACACACTCACTCACTCACCCACTCACCCACTCACTCACTCACCCACTCACCCACTCACTCACTCACCCACTCACCCACTCGCTCACTCACTCACTCACACACTCTCTCACTCACTCACACACTCTGTCGCTCACTCACACACTCACTCACTCACACACTCTCTCACTCACTCACACACTCTGTCGCTCACTCACACACTCACTCGCTCACACACTCTCTCGCTCACTCACACACTCACTCACTCACACACTCTGTCGCTCACTCACACACTCTGTCGCTCACTCACACACTCTCTCGCTCACTCACACACTCTGTCGCTCACTCGCACACTCACTCACACACTCTCTCGCTCACTCACACACTCACACACTCTCTCGCTCACTCACACACTCACTCACACACTCTCTCGCTCACTCACACATTCACACACTCTCTCGCTCACTCACTCACTCACACACTCACTCACTCACACACTCTCTCGCTCACTCACTCACACACTCACTCACACACTCTCTCGCTCACTCACACACTCACACACACTCTCTCGCTCACTCACACACTCACACACTCTCTTGCTCACTCACACACTCACACACACTCTCTCGCTCACTCACACACTCACACACTCTCTCGCTCACTCACACACTCACTCACACACTCTCTCGCTCACTCACACACTCACTCACACACTCTCTCGCTCACTCACACACTCACTCACACACTCTCTCGCTCACTCACACATTCACACACTCTCTCGCTCACTCACACACTCACTCACTCACACACTCACTCACTCACACACTCTCTCGCTCACTCACACACTCACTCACACACTCACTCACACACTCTCTCGCTCACTCACACACTCACACACACTCTCTCGCTCACTCACACACTCACACACTCACACACTCGCACACTCGTCTCGCTCACTCACACACTCACTCACACACTCACTCACACACTCACACACTCACTCACACACTCTCTCGCTCACTCACACACTCTGTCGCTCACTCACACACTCACTCACACACTCACACACTCTGTCGCTCACTCACACACTCACACACTCACACACCCTCTCGCTCACTCACACACTCACACTCACTCGCACACTCTCTCGCTCACTCACACACTATCTCACTCACTCACACACTCTGTCGCTCACTCATTTGCTTATTCAGACGCTCGCTCGCTCATTCACACACTCACTCCCTCATCCACTTGCTCACTCACACACTTGCTCATCCACTTGCTCACTCACACACTCGCTCTCTCGCTCGCTCACTCGCTCATTCTCTCGCTCGCTCACTCGCTCATTCACTCGCTCTCTCTCTCGCTCACTCCCTCACTCATTCGCTCACCCACTCGCTCGCTCATTCACACACTCTCTTGCTCATTCACTCACTCGCTCATTCACACACTGACTCGCTCACTAACCCACTCACTCGCTCATCTACTCACTCATCCACTCGCTCACTCCCACACTTGCTCACTCACACACTCGCTCTCTCGCTCACTCCCTCAATCATTCGCTCACCCGGTCGCTCACCCGCTCACCCACTCGCCCGCTCGCTCGCCCACCCGATCGCTCACCCACTCGCTCACCCAATTGCTCACCCGCTCGCCCACTCACCCGCTCGCTGGCACATTGCTCACTCGCTCACCCACTCGCCCGCTCACCTAATCGCTCACCCATTCGCTCACCCACTCACTCACCCACTTGCTCGCCCACTCGCCCACTCACCCACTCGCTCGCTCGCTCAATGTCTGTCTCACTAACAGCTGTCTCTTGTCTCATCTATCACTGCCTCTCTGTCTCCGCTGTCTCTCTAACCGCTTGTCCCCGCGTCCCCGTGTCTCCTTTGTCCCCGTGTCTCCCTCCTGTGCCCGTGTCTCCCTCCTGTCCCCGTGTCTCCCTCCTGTCCCCGTGTCTCCGCCTTCACTTTGTCCGTGAACTCCGGACGTCTTCAGGAGACGCGGGGACACACGGCGTCACGCGCACGGTGACGCACACACACACACACACGCTACGGATGGCCACGTGGAATATTCGAACGCTCACTGCGGAGGAGAGGCTGCCACTCCTCTGTCGGGAGCCGGACCGGTACCGCCTGGGTCTCTGCGGCATTCAGGAGGTCCGGTGGACCGGCTCTGGCTCCTGCCACCGTGAGGGGTGGGGACAGTCCCTCTACTCGGGGCAGGAGACTGCCAAACAACAGGGAGTGGCTCTTCTTCTGAACAAAAGAATGAAGGGGGCGTGGGAGCGTGGCGGTGAGGCGTGGGAAGCTGTAAGCCCCAGGCTACTTTGGGCTCGCCTTCCCATCAACCGGAGGCGAGGAGTGGTGGTCGTGGTTACTTATGCCCCCACTGAAGACGAACATCTGTGGAGGGATGCAGGCAAGGCCGATGAGTCAGATGCCTTCTATGACCTCCTATCACAGGTGCTGGCTAAAGTGGCCCCTCGGGATAGAGTCATCTTGTTCGGTGACTTCAATGCCCGAGTTGGTCATGATGCTGGCACCTGGCCTGGAGTGATTGGAGGGCATGGGCCAGATCAGCTCAATATCAACAGTAAGAGGCTGCTAGATTTTTGTGCAGCCCATGGGCTTGAAATTACCAACACGCTGTTCCAGCATCGGCGCATCCACACAACATCATGGATGCATGCCAGGTCCAAGCAAGAACATCTGCTGGACTACATAGTGACGGACCAGCGGATGCGGGCCCATGTCCTTGACACCAGGACCTACCGTGGAGCTGATCTGCCTACTGACCATCGACTTGTCATCTGTAAGATGCGCCTGCCATTCTTCCACTCCGGTGGTGGGTGTACACCAAGGACCCCATTCAAACCTAAGGTGGCCTGGTCTCAGCTAGCTGATGGAAGTTGCAAGTGAGAATTTCATCATCGCTTGCGGCTGGGGTTGGCATCGTCCCCCACTTCTCCAGATGTCAAGGGTAAATGGGCGAGGTTTAGGACTGACTCAGGCAACTTCAATGGCTGCTTTGGGTATGCGGTCCAGACCTCCCCAGAGACCCTGGCTGACAGAGGAGGTGTTCAAGCTGGCTGAGAAAAAGCGACAGGCCCACTCTCATCGGCTACAGCATCCCACGTCGGAGAATGAGGAGGCTTACCGCAGCTTTCGCTCGGAGGTTCGGAGAGCCGTGAGGCGCTGCAAGGATGGGTGGTGGTAGCGGGTTGCTGAGGAAATGGAGTCTACCTCAGTGGCCCGCGATCACAAATCGCTCTTTAACTCCATCAAAAAAGTAACCTGCAGCACCACACCTATTACCATTATTAGGGGAAAGAATGGTGATCCAATCTCCGACCCCCAGGAACAGGTTTGCAGATTTGCTGAGCATTTCTGTGAGGTCCTGGGGGAGGGGAAATCCCTCAGCCAGGAAAACATCGTGTGACAAAGTGGGGTTGACCCTGCTGAGGCTGCGGTGCCTCAAATATTGGAAGAAGTCACCCCCTGTGAGTGGCTGGCTGAGGTGCCATCTGTTGAGGAAGTACTAAAGGCGATCCAGAGTCTGGACCCGGAAAGGCACCGGCCAGAGATGATCTCCCAAGCGAATAGCTGAGGGAGGGTGGCGTTTGTGCACAGACTGCCCTACATGACATCTTAACAACAGTCTGGACCGCTGGACGGGTTCCGCAGGATTGGAAGGATGCCCTTCTTAAAGAGACCGCACAGACTGTAACAACTACTGGGGCATCTCACTCCTCAGTGTGCCGGGAAAGGTCCTGGCAAGGATTATTCAACATCGCCTTACCAGGCATGCTGAGGAGAGGCTTACGGAGCCCCAATGCGGTTTCAGGAAAGGGCGGTCCTGCACAGATGCCATATTTTCTGTCCGTCTGCTACAGCAGAGGTGTAGGGAATTCCAACAAGACCTACATCTCTGCTTTATTGACCTGGTCAAGGCCTATGATACCATCAGTAGGCCTGGGCTCTGGGTCGTTCTTCGTGCTTTTGGAGTACCTGACCCTCTGCTCACGATCATTTAGGACCTTCATGATGGTGAGCGGGCCCGGGTAAAACTACGTGGCCGGGAGTCAGAGCCATTCCCTGTACACCTTGGGGTGCGACAGGGATGTCCTCTGGCTCCCACATTATTTAACATCTATTTTGACCACGTAGTTCGTGAAGCCTTCAATAGCTGTACCCGGGGAATCTCCATCTGGTACAGATATAATGGGAGGCTGATCGATGCCCGGGTGCGGTCAAGGGATGGCTCCCTATTGCTCAACCACGTTATGTATGCTGATGATTTGGTAATAGCTGCTCAGTCAGAGGAGGAGTTGGAGACGCTGCTGCTGAGACTGGAGCGTGCCACTAAGAGGTGGGGCCTTACCATCAGCCCCACCAAAACTAAGCACCTGCCTGGGTATTTTGTACCATCGGACACTCCACCCCCACAACTTTCAATCGGTGATGGGGCAGTTGTGGAGAGAGTGGAGAGTTTCCCATACCTGGGCAGTGTGCTTATGACTGGCTCCAGTTTAACAGCAGAGGTCTCACTCCGAATCAGTCGAGCGGCAATATCTTTTCATCGGTTGCGTAACGCTGTGTGGAAGCTACCTGGTCTGTCGCTCCGCACTAAGCTTCAGGTCTTCTCGGCCACGGGCATTCCCTCCCTTCTCTACGCTTGCGAAACGTGGACCCCCCTAATGGAACATCTTCACCGGTTAGAAACATTTAGGCTGGCCTGCCTACGATCCATCCTGGGTTTAACCAGACTGGATTGTGTGAGGAGCTCACAAATCCTTGAAAGATCTGGGCAGGGTCCCATTGGTGAGCTCCTCCGGCGGGCAAGGCTGCGATGGCTGGGTCATGTAGCCCGCATGCCCAGCCACTGCATGCCGAAACAGCTTTTGTTTGGCCGGATTGAGGGGGCTAAGCGGGCGCGGCACGGGCTAGAAAAGAGATGGAGTGATGTGGTACAGGAGGACGTGGAGCTGGGTGGACTTGCCGATGACCGGTACCAGCGGTGTCAAGATCGGCCTCTGTGGAGGAGGCTCGTGAAGGATGCTACTGGGCAGTTGGAGGCAGTCGCCCTCCAACAACAACAGAGGGCGGAGGAGCGACGCTCAGAACAACGAGCGGAGCGCCGGGTGGCTAAAGCACAGCAGGTTGGCACAGTAGGGGGCACAGGTGGTGCATCAGCCAGTCATCTCAGTCAGTCGACCCGTGGCACCTGCTGGGTCTGCCCCGTGACCTCCTGCCAGCGGGCGTTCGACACTTCACGTGGCCTCAGGGTGCACATAGCCTGGCACAAGCGTCATGGTGACGTCACCGCCACTTAGTGGCGAATGGCGGTTGTTGTTGTGTGTGTGTGTCTGTGTGTGTGTGTGTGTCTGTGTCTGTGTGTGTCTATGTGTGTGTGTGTCTATGTGTGTGTGTGTCTATGTGTGTGTTTGTGTCTATGTGTGTCTGTGTCTATGTGTGTGTGTGTCTGTGTGTCTGTGTGTGTCTATGTGTGTGTGTCTGTGTGTGTGTCTATGTGTGTGTGTGTGTCTATGTGTGTGTGTGAGAGCCGTGAGGCACTGCAAGGATGGGTGGTGGTCGCGGGTTGCTGAGGAGATGGAGTCTGCCTCAGTGGCCCGTGATCACAAATCTCTATTTAACTCCATCAAAAAAGTAACCTGCAGCGCCACACCTATTACCATCATTAGGGGAAAAAACGGTGATCCAATTTCCGACCCCCAGGAACAGGTTCGCAGATTTGCTGAGCATTTCTGTGAGGTCCTCGGGGAGGGAAAATCCCTCAGCCAGGAAAACACCGTGGCACAAAGTGAGGATGACCCTGCTGAGGCTGCGGTGCCTCAAATATTGGATGAAGTCAGCCCCTGTGAGTGGCTGGCTGAGGTGCCATCTGCTGAGGAAGTATTGAAGGCGATCCGGAGTCTGAGACCAGGAAAGGCAGCGGGCAGAGATGATCTCCCAAGCGAAATGCTGAGGGAGGGTGGCGTTTGTGCACAGACTGCCCTATATGACATCATAACAACAGTCTGGACCACTGGACGGGTTCCGCAGGATTGGAAGGATGCCCTGGTGGTCCCCCTTTTTAAGAAGGGGGACCGCACAGACTGTAACAACTACAGGGGCATCTCACTCCTCAGTGTGCCGGGAAAGGTCCTGGCAAGGATTATTCAGCATCGCCTTACCAGGCACGCTGAGGAGAGGCTTGCGGAGCCCCAATGCGGTTTCAGGAAAGGGCGGTCCTGCACAGATGCCATATTTTCTGTCCGTCTGCTACAGCAGAGGTGTAGGGAATTCCAACAAGACCTACATCTCTGCTTTATTGACCTGGTCAAGGCCTATGATACCATCAGTAGGCCTGGGCTCTGGGTCGTTCTTCGTGCTTTTGCAGTACCTGACCCTCTGCTCACGATCATTAAGGACCTTCATGATGGTGAGTGGGCCCGGGTAAAACTACGTGGCCGGGAGTCAGAGCCATTCCCTGTACACCTTGGGGTGCGACAGGGATGTCCTCTGGCTCCCACATTATTTAACATCTATTTTGACCACGTAGTTCGTGAAGCCTTCAATAGCTGTACCGGGGGAATCTCCATATGGTACAGATATAATGGGAGGCTAATCGATGCCCGGGTGCGGTCAAGGGATGGCTCCCTATTGCTCAACCACGTTATGTATGCTGATGACTTGGTAATAGCTGCTCAGTCAGAGGAGGAGTTGGAGACGCTGCTGCTGAGACTGGAGCGTGCCACTAAGAGGTGGGGCCTTACCATCAGCCCCACCAAAACTAAGCACCTGCCTGGGTATTTTGTACCATCGGACACTCCACCCCCACAACTCCCAATCGGTGATGGGGCAGTTGTGGAGAGAGTGGAGAGTTTCCCATACCTGGGCAGTGTGCTTATGACTGGCTCCAGTTTAACAGCAGAGGTCTCACTCCGAATCAGTCGAGTGGCAATATCTTTTCATCGGTTGCGTAACGCTGTGTGGAAGCTACCTGGTCTGTCGCTCCGCACTAAGCTTCAGGTCTTCTCGGCCACGGTCATTCCCTCCCTTCTCTACGCTTGCGAAACGTGGACCCCCCTAATGTGGAACATCTTCGCCGGTTAGAAACATTTAGGCTGGCCTGCCTACGATCCATCCTGGGTTTAACCAGACTGGATTGTGTGAGGAGCTCACAAATCCTTGAAAGATCTGGGCAGGGTCCCATCGGTGAGCTCCTCCGGCAGGCAAGGCTGCGATGGCTGGGTCATGTAGCCCGCATGCCCAGCCACCGCATGCCGAAACAGCTTTTGTTTGGCCGGATTGAGGGGGCTAAGCGGGCGCGGCACGGGCTAGAGAAGAGATGGAGTGATGTGGTACAGGAGGACGTGGAGCTGAGTGGACTTGCCGATGACTGGTACCAGCGGTGTCAAGATCGGCCTCTGTGGAGGAGGCTCGTGAAGGATGCTACTGGGCAGTTGGAGGCAGTCGCCCTCCAACAACAACGGAGGGCGGAGGAGCGACGCTCACAACAGCGAGCGGAGCGCCGGGTGGCTAAAGCACAGCAGGTTGGCACAGTAGGGGGCACAGGTGGTGCATCAGCCAGTCATCTCAGTCAGTCGACCCGTGGCACCTGGGTCTGCCCCGTGACCTCCTGCCAGCGGGCGTTCGACACTTCACGTGGCCTCAGGGTGCACATAGCCTGGCACAAGCGTCGTGGTGACGTCACCGCCACTTAGTGGCGAATGGCGGTTGTTGTGTGTGTGTCTATGTGTGTGTGTCTGTGTGTCTGTCGCTGTAGCGGTCAGCGCTACGCTGCGCTACAAACCCTGCGGAGCCTCGAGTTCGATTCCTGCTCACAGCCACCACCACCACCACAGTGACGGCGATGATTCTGAACCGTTCCTGGGCCTCCCCTAGGTCGATTCAGCCTCAAATTAGTTTCCCGGTGTAGCGGTGGTGTAGTGCAGTAAACATCGCCAGCGCTGGGGGAGACAAAGGCGGTCGGGCGTGGTGGTGTTGGCCACCAACCCCCTCTGTGTGTGTAGCCACAGTGCCGGGTAGCCTTCATAGACGCTGCTGCTGCTAACAGCACTTGCCCCTACAGCCCTGTTAGAGGCTACACGGGGGACCTTTGTCTTTGTGTGTACAACAGCACTTGCACTACAGCCCTGTTAGAGGCTACCTGGGGGAGCTTTGTGTGTGTACAACAGCACTTGCCCCTACAGCCCTGTTAGAGGCTACCTGGGGGATCTTTGTCAGTCTGTGTGTGTAGGTGCTGCTACTCGCTACTGACAGCACTTGCCCTGATAGCCTGCTGGAGGCTACCTTGGGGAGCTTTGTCTGTGTGTGTGTGTGTACAACAGCACTTGCCCTACAGCCCTGTTAGAGGCTACACGGGGGAGCTTTGTCTGTCTGTGTGTGTAGGTGCTGCTACTCGCTACTGACAGCACTTGCCCCGATAGCTTGCTGGAGGCTACCTTGGGGAGCTTTGTCTGTGTGTGTGTGTGTGTGTACAACAGCACTTGCCCTACACCCCTGTTAGAGGCTACACGGGGGAGCTTTATCTGTGTGTATGTGTAGGTGCTGCTACTCGCTACTGACAGCACTTGCCCCGATAGCTTGCTGGAGGCTACACGGGGGATCTTTGTCTCTGTGTGTGTACAGCAGCACTTGCCCCAGCGGTCTGTAAGAGGCTACGCGGGGGACCTTTGCCTTTGCTAGGTGAACGAGACGAACGTGGAGCTGGACTCGCTGGGCGTGGCGGTGCAGGAGGTGAAGAGGCTCCACCTGGCCATCCTCAGTGACGTGGAACCTCGCGAGTGTGAGCAAGCTACACTACACTATACACTACACTATACACTACACTATACACTACACTATACACTACACACACTACCACACACACTACTACACTATACACTACACACACTACTACACTACATACTACACTACACTCCAGGCTCCACCTGGCCATCCTCAGTGACGTGGAACCTCGCGAGTGTGAGGAAACTACACTACACTATACACTACACTATACACTACACTACACTATACACTACACTATACACTACACTACAGGCTCCACCTGGCCATCCTCAGTGACGTGGAACCTCGCGAGTGTGAGCAAACTACACTACACTATACACTACACTATACACTACACTATACACTACACTACACTATACACTACACTCCAGGCTCCACCTGGCCATCCTCAGTGACGTGGAACCTCGCGAGTGTGAGCAAGCTACACTACACTATACACTACACTATACACTACACTATACACTACACTATACACTACACTACAGGCTCCACCTGGCCATCCTCAGTGACGTGGAACCTCGCGAGTGTGAGCAAGCTACACTACACTATACACTACACTATACACACTACAGGCTCCACCTGGCCATCCTCAGTGACGTGGAACCTCGCGAGTGTGAGGAAACTACACTACACTATACACTACACTAGTATACACTACACTATACACTACACTATACACTACACTAGTATACACTACACTATACACTACACTATACACTACACACACACTACCACACACACTACTACACTACACCACAGGCTCCACCTGGCCATCCTCAGCGACGTGGAACCTCGCGAGTGTGAGCAAGCTACACTACATTATACACTACACTATACACTACACTATACACTACACACACACTACCACACACACTACCACACACACTACCACACACACTACTACACTACACCACAGGCTCCACCTGGCCATCCTCAGTGACGTGGAACCTCGCGAGTGTGAGGAAACTACACTACACTATACACTACACTATACACTACACTGTACACTACACTATACACTACACTATACACACTACAGGCTGCACCTGGCCATCCTCAGTGACGTGGAACCTCGCGAGTGTGAGGAAGCTACACTATACACTACACTATACACTACACTATACACTACACTATACACTACACTATACACTACACTATACACACTACAGGCTCCACCTGGCCATCCTCAGTGACGTGGAACCTCGCGAGTGTGAGCAAGCTACACTACACTATACACTACACTATACACTACACTATACACTACACTGCACTACTATACACTACACTATACACTACACTATACACTACACTATACACTACACTATACACTACACTATACACACTACAGGCTCCACCTGGCCATCCTCAGTGACGTGGAACCTCGCGAGTGTGAGCAAGCTACACTACACTATACACTACACTATACACACTACAGGCTCCACCTGGCCATCCTCAGTGACGTGGAACCTCGCGAGTGTGAGGAAACTACACTACACTATACACTACACTATACACTACACTATACACTACACTGTACACTACACTGTACACTACACTGTACACTACACTATACACTACACTATACACTACACTAGTATACACTATACACTACACTATACACTACACTATACACTACACTATACACTACACTATACACTACACTATACACTACACTATACACACTACAGGCTCCACCTGGCCATCCTCAGTGACGTGGAACCTCGCGAGTGTGAGCAAGCTACACTACATTATACACTACACTATACACTACACTATACACTACACTATACACTACACACACACTACCACACACACTACTACACTACACCACAGGCTCCACCTGGCCATCCTCAGTGACGTGGAACCTCGCGAGTGTGAGGAAGCTACACTACATTATACACTACACTATACACTACACTATACACTACACTATACACTACACACACACTACCACACACACTACCACACACACTACTACACTACACTACAGGCTCCACCTGGCCATCCTCAGTGACGTGGAACCTCGCGAGTGTGAGGAAACCACACTACACTATACACTACACTATACACTACACTATACACTACACTATACACTACACTATACACTACACTATACACTACTACACTACAGGCTCCACCTGGCCATCCTCAGCGACGTGGAACCTCGCGAGTGTGAGGAAGCTACACTATACACTACACTGTACACTACACTATACACTACACTATACACTACACTACACACTATACACTACACTACACACTATACACTACACTACATACTACACTATACACTACACTATACACTACACTATACACTACACTATACACTACACTATACACTATACTATACACTACACTATACACTACACTATATACTACACACTACACTACACTATATACTACACACTACACACACTAGTATTCACTACACTATACACTACACTATACACTACATACTACACTACACCACAGGCTCCACCTGGCCATCCTCAGTGACGTGGAACCTCGCGAGTGTGAGGAAGCTACACTACATTATACACTACACTAGTATACACTATACACTACACTATACACTACACTATACACTACACTATACACTCTACACCACACTACACACTACACCACACTATACACTACACTATACACTACACTCTACACCACACTACATACTACACTATACACTACACTACATACTACACTACACTACAGGCTCCACCTGGCCATCCTCAGTGACGTGGAACCTCGCGAGTGTGAGGAAACTACACTATACACTACACTATACACTACACTATACACTACACTATACACCACACTACACACACACTACACACTACACCACACTATACACTACACTATAGACTACACTATACACTACACTATACACTACACTACACACACACTACACACTACACTATACACTACACTACACACTACACTACACACTACACTATACACTACACACACACTACTATACTACACTACAGGCTGCACCTGGCCATCCTCAGTGACGTGGAACCTCGCGAGTGTGAGGAAACTACACTACATTATACACTACACTAGTATACACTATACACTACACTATACACTACACTATACACTACACTATACACTACACTATACACTACACTATACACTACACTATACACTATACACTCTACACCACACTACACACTACACCACACTATACACTACACTATACACTACACCACACTATACACTACACTATACACTACACTCTACACCACACTATACACTACACTATACACTACACTACATACTACACTACACTACAGGCTCCACCTGGCCATCCTCAGCGACGTGGAACCTCGCGAGTGTGAGGAAACTACACTACACTATACACTACACTATACACTACACTACCTACACTACACACTACACTATACACTACACACACTACACTACACTACACACGTACACTACTACACTACATACTACACTACATACTACACTACATACTACACTACACACTATACACTACACTACACACTATACACTACATACTACACTACACTACACACCACACTAAACACACACTAATACACTACATACTACACTACACTACAGGCTGCACCTGGCCATCCTCAGCGACGTGGAACCTTGCGAGTGTGAGGAAGCTTCACTACACTATACACTATACACTACACTATACACTACACTATACACTACACTACACTATACACTACACTATACACTACACTATACACTACACTATACACTACACTACACTATACACTACACTATACACTACACTATACACTACACTATACACTACACTATACACTACACTATACACTATACACTACACTATACACTACACTATACACTACACACACACTACCACACACACTACTACACTACAGGCTCCACCTGGCCATCCTCAGTGATGTGGAACCTCGCGAGTGTGAGGAAGCTTCACTACACTACACTATACACTACACTATACACTACACTATACACTACACTATACACTACCTACAATACACTATACACTACACTATACCCTACACTATACACTACACTACACACTATACTATACACTATACACTACACTATACACTATACTATACACTACACTAGTATACACTACACTAGTATACACTACACTAGTATACACTACACTATACACTACACTCTACACTACACTATAAACTACACTCTACACTACACACTAAACTACACACTACACTACACACCACACTAAACACACGCTACTACACTACACTACACACTACACTACACACCACACTACCACACACACTACTACACTACACACTACACTATACACTACACTATACACTACACTACACATGCTATACACTACACTATACACTACACTATACACTACACTACACCACAATATGCACTACACCACACTACCTACACTACACACTACACCACACTACACACACTATACACTACACTATACACTACACACTACACTACACACCACACTAAACACACACTACTACACTACATACTACACTACATACTACACTAGACTACAGGCTCCACCTGGCCATCCTCAGCGACGTGGAACCTCGCGAGTGTGAGGAAGCTTCACTACACTATACACTACACTATACACTACACTATACACTACACCACCCACTACACTACACTATACACTACACTATACACTACACCTCACTACCTACACTACACCACACTACACCACACTACACTATACACTACACTACACTATACACTACACACTACACTACACACTACACTACACTATACACTACACTATACACTACACTACACACTACACTATACACTACACTATACACCACACTACACTACACACACTATACACACACTCCACACACTAGTATACATACTACACACACTACACTAGTATACACTACACTACTACACACTACTCTACTATACACTGCACTACACACTATACACACTACACTAGTATACACTACACTATACACACACTATACACCACACACTACACTACACCAC